AGAACCAGACAGAACTCTGGAACCAGACAGACTGAACCAGACAGAACTCTGGAACCAGACAGAACTCTAGAACCAGACAGAACTCTGGAACCAGATGCTAATGTCTAGCTAATCTCGCGACAACCACGTGGAACCATCTCTACTACATCGAACATGGCGGACAGCGCCGGGGACGTGTTTCGCCGGCGGACCAAGTGTTTCCGGTCGGGGCGGCCGTTTGAAAGGCTTTATAGCGGAAGTGAGTGACGGACCGTGGCTGAGCGCTGACGCTGAGTTCTGCCGCTGAACGATGAAGTTCCTGCACAAGCTGCTGCTGCTGATGGCGCTGTTAGTCTTCCCGGCCGCGCTGCTCTCCAGAGGTAAACCTCAGGCTCCTGCGGGAACACGGCTCTCGTTAGCTAGCTGCCTTCCACGGGCTAGCGTTAGCAGCTAACTAGCTCAGTGGAAAGGGCCCGCTTCGTTCTGACTTGTGCTAACTGTGTGTGTGTGTGTGTGTGTGTGTGTGTGTGTGTGTGTAACGTGGTCGCGTGTGTTCTGTGAAAGTCTGTGTGTGTGTGTGTAGTTGAGTGTGTGTGTGTGGTTGAGTGTTAGCTGTTAGCCGTAGGGCCGCACTTTGTCCGCCCGCTTACACTGACGTGTCCTTACTGTTAGCCGGGAAGCTAAGTGCCGCTGCTAACAGGCTAACGCTCTGTGAGCGGGTCCCGGTGAAGGTTCCTCTTTATGTTCAGCAGCACGAGTCGTTTCAGCTCGACCCTCGTGTTGTTGACGGCAGATCGTTTCCCTGTAGAGTCCAAACGTGGACGTTCTGTCTCCTGATGTTGTAACTACGGGTTCTCATACATTTGCGGTATTAATCCAAACCTAGGATCGTGTGTAAAATCCATTTGTGGAATTAAAATCAAGAACTTTTCATTTCCTTTCATTCAAATCTGATTAATCGGACTATTTCATCTGTTCAGGATGAATCTGTGATGATCTGGGCACAAAGAGTAAAGAGAGTAGAGATGACATCAGTGCTCATGTAGCAGCTGTAAGCAGAACTGTCATGTAGAAGCAGGAAGACGTCGAGTTGTGAAGTATGAAGAAACATCTGAACCTCTTGTTTCCCGTGAAGTGAATGAATGAATGAATGAAGAGACCAGTGGCTCCGAAAGGAAACAGATGAAAACACATCATCGCTGCTGCAGACGCGTCTGACGTCCACAGCTCCCAGAGTACAGCAGCATGGACAGTTACTGACGCTGTTGTTTGCTGACAGCATTTTAAAATGATACAGCTGTTTGCACGGTCATGTGATATGTGTTTGCAGACGTGTGAGAATGGACGCTGATTAAAACCAAGACAGAAATCGCTTCAGTTTGGAAACGTAGTCGTATGAATGCAGGCCGAGCCTCGCAGTCGGTCGTGAGACCGTCTCTCTGCCTCGATGGAGCAGAGAGGTGTTTATATCTGCTGTGGTTGAAAAAAACATTCAAGAGCTCTTCCCCCAAGTCACGAAGAGTAAAAGGTTGTTTTTGAATGACCGTCAGGGCCGATGGTGAGCGCTCAGGATCTGACGGAAGATGAGGAGGCTGAGGCCGTGGAGGAAGATGTTGTGGATGATGTGACGGCTGAAGACGAGGACGATGAAGCAGAAGTGGAAGACGATGAAAATGTAGAATTGGTGAGTGACTCATCGAATTATCACAAAACCAACACGGTTGGACAAAGTACTGCAGTTTATTCAGATGATAGATGATTTAATCTAAAGTGTCAACGTGTGGATGAAGCCGGAACATTTCATGGACTGAACCTTTAACCAGAAGCTGAGAGACGACTTGAAGTTTGAATTAATACTCAGGGAAACTAAACCTGCTGTGTGTGTGTGTGTGTGTGTGTGTGTAGACAGAAGAAAAAGAAGAGGAGGAGGAAGAGGCGTTGGTTGGAGAGGTGAAGGCTTCCCCCAACGCTGATACCACCATCCTGTTTGTCAAAGGAGAAGGTATCTCCCTTTCTTCTGTCCTCCGTCTCTCCTTCATAATTTCCACATTGGCTTTGTTCTGAGGCTGCGTCGCTGTGAAAACTGTCTGATCCGTGTCCTCGTGTCCCTCCAGACTTCCCAGCCAACAACATCGTGAAGTTCCTGCTCGGCTTCACCAACAAGGGATCAGAGAACTTCGTGGTGGAGTCTCTGGACGCGTCTTTCCGTTACCCACAGGTACGCATGTCAGGTTCAACCAGCGCAAATAAACCACGAGTTTCGGTCCCTGAACAGTCTAACGTGGTTCTGTTTGTCCCGCTCAGGATTATCAGTTCTACATCCAGAACTTCACCGCTCTGCAGCTCGGCACCGTGGTTCCTCCGAGCAAACAGGCCACCTTCGAGTACTCCTTCATCCCCGCGGAGCCAATGGGAGGGCGGCCATTCGGACTCGTCATCAACCTCAACTACAAGGACGGCAGTGTAAGGAGGCATTGAACATCAGAAAAGTCTGAGGTGTAGTTTGTTGTGTTTGGAGGAGACGATGCAGAGAAAGGTTCAGCAGTTTTTCAACGCTGCTGACCTCTGACCTTTCTCTTCTCTTCTTCGTCGTTATCTTTCTCTTCCCGCTCTCCATGATTCTTTCTTTTGTTCTCTACCTAACCCTGATTGTCTTTCTTTGTCCACCTCTCTGCAGGGAAACATTTTCCAGGATGCAGTGTTCAACCAGACGGTCACTGTCACTGAGCGAGAGGACGGATTGGACGGAGAGACGTGAGTGTGTCTTCTGCTTCTCTGCTCATTTATGTCTGTGTTACGTCTCTGCGCTGGTGACACCTAGTGGCCAGAGACATTATGTCTTCGTGTTGTCCGTGTGTTCCGTCCCTGTGAACATGATATCTCACCCTGTTCTCGTCTCCTAGGATCTTCATGTACGTCTTCCTGTCGGGCCTCGGGCTGCTGGTCATCGTCGGCCTTCACCAGCTGCTGGAGTCCCGAAAGGTGCAACATCACGTTTATTATCTCGGGGGGGGGGTCGATCAGAACATCTCTTAAATTTGAATATATTTGATATTTTGACTGAAGTTTGACGCTCGTACATTAACAGAGTAAACGATGATGATGAGAAGAGACATGAGGTCAAAGTCAGGCTCAGATTAAAAACCAAACATGCAGCTTGAAGTCAAAATGTCCGAAGTGATGAAATGATCTGAAATGATTTTTTTCATATTTGAAGAAACAGTGAATTTACGTGCCTGGCTTCTCTCTCTCTCTCTCTCTCTCTCTGTCTCTGTGTGTAGAGGAGGCGTCCAGCTCCAAAGGTGGAGATGGGAACCTCGACCCACAACGACGTTGATCTGAGCTGGATCCCTCAGGAAACACTGAACCAGATCAGTACGTACACTTCAGCTGCTTCTCTCAGCTGCACCTTGATTTGAACCTGATGTTCTGAACAACAAGTGGTTGAGTGAAGACAAACGTCCACCATGTCCCTCGATGTCTGTTTCCTTGCTGAGTCAGCTGACGTCTCTGTTGTCTTCCTGCTTCACGTGTTTCTCAGTGAACTTTAACCTTCGCCCGTGCACGACGATCACTCACCTTCTTTCTTTCTCTCTTCCTTCCTCGCTGTCACGCTTCCCTGCGTCTTCAGTGCAGAGTCGCAGAGGTGAGGTCGTGTGTGCGTGTGTGTGTGTGTGTG